TCCCCAGTGCAGTGCTGTTAGGAGATGGGGCCTTTGGGAGGTGCTTAGGTCATGAGAGGAGCCATCATGAATGGGGTAAGTGCTTTTTCTAAAAATTGGGAGTGTAGTTGATATACAATATTATATTGGTTTCAGGTGTACAACATAGTGATTTGTCAAGTATGTTACCAAATGCTCACCATGATAAGTGTAGTTACCATCTGTCAACATACAAAGATATTATATAATATTATTAACTATATATATAACAACTAGTGACCACTAGGTTGTTCCATTATAAAGGCACAGCTTTCCTCTGTAATTAGTAAATTATCTGTGGGGTGATACTCTAAGGCTGTGATTTCCCCAACTTTTTATTTCTAAAGTCTTTCCAGGTAGTTATTGTGGTTCGATGTTGGTTTTGATTTCAGAGTTAAAACAATAAATGTGCAATGGTAGGGGATGACCTGTCTCCAAATGTGGATTTAGGATTTTTATCCCCATCTTTCAAAGGAGGAAACTGAGTCTCAGAGAGGGTAAGTTACTTGTTCAAGGGCACACAGCAAATTTATTCTAGTAATCACCACCATTTAGTAAGTGCTCTGAGTGCCAGGTATTTAATGATACCCATTTAACAGTAAGACAGGAAATAAGCACACTAAGAGCAGAGAGGTTGTCACTGCAGATTACCAGTGAAAGAGCCTGGATTTAGTACCAGGTCTGACTTACTCCAAGGCCTCATGTTGCATCCACGATTTCATGTGACATCTCAAAGATGAAAAAACTTACAAACCTCTAGTTCTCATGAATCCTGAGACTGTTGACTCTGAGATTTTGGAATCTCCTAGTATTATAGCAGAGCTAGTTAAATGGATAGTTTTAACCCTTTCTGACTCTGAAGTTTATAGACAACATTACCTACCTTTACTGGTAATCATCCCCCCACTCCATAATGCCCTAACTTTAATATGAAGGAGAAATAAAAGAAAAATAATACAGCATAGTAAGCACATTTTTTCAATATATAAATGCTCAGGCACAGTCCCAAAGGAAACAGAACAAAGGTAGCAATTACCTGTGACCTGATTATGCAGTGGCCACATATGCAGCCTGACACAGTTGGGTGGACTTGGTAACTTAAATGCCATATGCCCAGGGTTGTCACTGGTGGCAGGATTTTCCAAAGTGGTGAACATCTCTCAGTCTAGACAAAATTCAGCCCTCTCTCAATTAATCTGGTGGCTGCAGTCCTTGAAATGTCAGTGTATTTTTAAATTATGGGAAAAAATACTGTATATGTAAAACAGCTGGTACCAGGCTCTGATCAATTTAAACAGGTTTGTCACTGATGTGAACATCGGCAGGATGTTCAAAAATCTTGAAGAACTTGTGTGGAACTGTTCCTGGTATCAGAGGCTATGTAGCATCTCTGGCTCTCATCTACTACTGCCTGCTATGGGTCCCAGTCAGTGTCAACCAAAATCACCCCCAATATCCCAAACGCCCCCTAGAGGGCGGTACTCCTCCACCGAGACACACTATTTTCATTGTGTTTCCTGGGCAAGGGCTTTTCAAGTTCAGAGCAGGGTTTAGAGGATCCCCGATGCCAGCAGGATGACCAGGAAAGCCAAGAGGCTGAGAGAGTCTGGGCCCCGTCTAAAGGGCCTGGTTTCATCCTCTGCTGCATGTGGCTTCTAGCTGCCATCTTTAATCCTGTACTCTCTCTCTTTGTGTATACATTCATAGAGGGAGATTTCTAAGTAAATTGGATATACAATGATGCTTCATCCAAAATGTTCAGTGTCTTTCTCTTGAGAACAAGAACATTTCCCACAATGTCGGACTTACATAATAATAATAATAATACCATTATCACACTCTAGAAGGTTAATATTCATACAAGGATATTACGTAATATTAAGCCCATATTCTAGTTATCCCAAGTGTCTTCAGAATATCCTTTATAACTGTTGTCTTTGTTGTTTGCTTGTTTAACACACAGTCTCGGATTACATGCTGCATTCAGTTGTCAGGTCCTGTTACGGTCTGAGTGTTTGTGCTCCCCCCCAAATTCGTATGTTGTAATCGTGGTCCCCAGTGCAGTGCTGTTAGGAGATGGGGCCTTTGGGAGGTGCTTAGGTCATGAGAGGAGCCATCATGAATGGGGTAAGTGCTTTTTCTAAAAATTGGGAGTGTAGTTGATATACAATATTATATTGGTTTCAGGTGTACAACATAGTGATTTGTCAAGTATGTTACCAAATGCTCACCATGATAAGTGTAGTTACCATCTGTCAACATACAAAGATATTATATAATATTATTAACTATATATATAACAACTAGTGACCACTAGGTTGTTCCATTATAAAGGCACAGCTTTCCTCTGTAATTAGTAAATTATCTGTGGGGTGATACTCTAAGGCTGTGATTTCCCCAACTTTTTATTTCTAAAGTCTTTCCAGGTAGTTATTGTGGTTCGATGTTGGTTTTGATTTCAGAGTTAAAACAATAAATGTGCAATGGTAGGGGATGACCTGTCTCCAAATGTGGATTTAGGATTTTTATCCCCATCTTTCAAAGGAGGAAACTGAGTCTCAGAGAGGGTAAGTTACTTGTTCAAGGGCACACAGCAAATTTATTCTAGTAATCACCACCATTTAGTAAGTGCTCTGAGTGCCAGGTATTTAATGATACCCATTTAACAGTAAGACAGGAAATAAGCACACTAAGAGCAGAGAGGTTGTCACTGCAGATTACCAGTGAAAGAGCCTGGATTTAGTACCAGGTCTGACTTACTCCAAGGCCTCATGTTGCATCCACGATTTCATGTGACATCTCAAAGATGAAAAAACTTACAAACCTCTAGTTCTCATGAATCCTGAGACTGTTGACTCTGAGATTTTGGAATCTCCTAGTATTATAGCAGAGCTAGTTAAATGGATAGTTTTAACCCTTTCTGACTCTGAAGTTTATAGACAACATTACCTACCTTTACTGGTAATCATCCCCCCACTCCATAATGCCCTAACTTTAATATGAAGGAGAAATAAAAGAAAAATAATACAGCATAGTAAGCACATTTTTTCAATATATAAATGCTCAGGCACAGTCCCAAAGGAAACAGAACAAAGGTAGCAATTACCTGTGACCTGATTATGCAGTGGCCACATATGCAGCCTGACACAGTTGGGTGGACTTGGTAACTTAAATGCCATATGCCCAGGGTTGTCACTGGTGGCAGGATTTTCCAAAGTGGTGAACATCTCTCAGTCTAGACAAAATTCAGCCCTCTCTCAATTAATCTGGTGGCTGCAGTCCTTGAAATGTCAGTGTATTTTTAAATTATGGGAAAAAATACTGTATATGTAAAACAGCTGGTTCCAGGCTCTGATCAATTTAAACAGGTTTGTCACTGATGTGAACATCGGCAGGATGTTCAAAAATCTTGAAGAACTTGTGTGGAACTGTTCCTGGTATCAGAGGCTATGTAGCATCTCTGGCTCTCATCTACTACTGCCTGCTATGGGTCCCAGTCAGTGTCAACCAAAATCACCCCCAATATCCCAAACGCCCCCTAGAGGGCGGTACTCCTCCACCGAGACACACTATTTTCATTGTGTTTCCTGGGCAAGGGCTTTTCAAGTTCAGAGCAGGGTTTAGAGGATCCCCGATGCCAGCAGGATGACCAGGAAAGCCAAGAGGCTGAGAGAGTCTGGGCCCCGTCTAAAGGGCCTGGTTTCATCCTCTGCTGCATGTGGCTTCTAAGCAGGAAAAATAATAATTATTTTTAAAGAATCTGGAAATCTGGAATTTCATGTCCATACTTTTTAAATGTAGGCTCTAAATTTTTATTTACATTTTTTTAAAAAGTTTTTTAGCTTTTTAAAAAAAATTTTATTGAAGGATAATTGACATACCAAAAATTGCACATATTTAATGTACACATTTTGATGAGTTTGGATAAAATGTTAAATCAACGAACACCTGTGTGCTGTCCACCAAACGCACCAGCTGACCTTTTGCTGTGTCACTCTGCATACCCACAGACACACACATATGCAAATACACACATTGCTTTTTGCTGAACCATTTGCAGATGAGTTTTAAATATGCTACTTCACCTCGAGATACCTCAGCATGCATCTCCTATGAATAAGCTCTTGCACAGCTGCAATACCGTTATCGTCCCTGGGAAAATGAACACTATTGCCTAATATCTAATATACAGCCCATACTTAATTCCCAGTGTCCCAAATTTGTTTTATAGTTGTTTCTTCCTCCTTAATCCAAGATCCAATCAAGGATTATATGTGGGATTTGGTTGTCGTGTCTCTTTAATGTCCTTTTTTTAAAAATTGAGTTGCAGTTGATCCAATCTTAAGTGTACAGTTCTGTGCATTTTTATGTATGTAACACCATGTAGCTACCTGCCAGGTCAAAATATATTACTTGTTCTCTTTTAACCCAAGATGTAGTGCCCATCTCTTTATTGTCTTTCACAACCCTGGTATTTTTGTCCTGGTGACCACAGTTGTGCTAGTCTGACCTTTGCTTGTTAGGTTCAGGTGATGAGCTTCTGGGGGGCTGTCACACAGTGTGGTTGTGACCTTCCCAGCTCATAGTCAGTGACTAGCTAAGTCACTGTGGCCCAGTATTGCTGATGCTGACCTTGATCACCTGGTTAAGGTGTGTGTCTGCTAGCTTCCTCCACTGTAGAGGAGCCTGCTCCCCTCATCATTAGGTCATCTGCAGACCTTGCTTGGAGAACCTGTGTGCATCCAATGTTTCAAAACTCTTAGTGGCCCAATGTTTCATCTGTGGGGCAACTATCATGCTGTGAGGTGCCCAGGCCACCAGTTGGAAGCCTTTGGTTTAGGATCTCAGAGGGGTCTTAAGCAGAGACCCGTCCATCGTCCGGGTGGGAGAGAGGTGGGGAGTTACTAAGGGAGGCTGCAAGGAGTTTGGATGGGTGCAGGTGTCTGCAGTGGGACCCCAAAAGAGCACCTGTCTTCCTGCAGCTCCGGGACTGTGGAGGGCTGCGGGAGGTGGAGGTGACCGCCTGCCTGGTGTGGAAGGACTGGCCTCACCGAGTCCACCCCCACAGCCTCGTGGGGAAGGACTGCACCGATGGCGTCTGCAGGGTGCGGCTGCGGCCTCATGTCAGCCCTCGACACAGGTACCCAACCCTGACCCCTGGCCTTTCACCCTTGGTCATGTAGGTTTGGAGGGGCTGAGGACGGCTCAGGGAAACCTCAGGGCAAGGGGCAGCTTGGCCGGACTCTCCTCACTGCATTTCCTAGCTGGGAAAACCAAGGCCAGGCCTGGGGTGGTGCAGAGGGTCTCCCCTAGGCCTGGAACCCTACGGCATGCACATTCACACGCATTATTTTTATCCCCGTTTTGTAGAGGAGGAAGCTGAGAGCTAGCCAGTGGCGGAGCTGGGATTTAACTCCAGACGTGACTTAACTGCAAAGCCCATTCTTTCTCTTGCTTTTATAATTTATATATTTCTAAGAAGTTAAAAAATAAAAGATTGAGAAAGGATGTGCAGTGAAAAATAAATTTTCCTGCCATGTTCGGGCCTCCAGCTACCAGAGCCCTTTCCTGGGGGCAATTATAAATTGTGCTATGTATATATTTCTCCCCTTACAAATGACAGAAGTCATTTGGACCTCATTTTTATATCCTAGTATTTCTTGGATATCATTCCTATCAGTATGTAGAGCTGCCCTGTCCTTTTTATTGGCTGCAAAAACATCAACATACGTTCTAGCAACATACACCTTTGTGCAGTTAATCGAACAAGTTCTGCATAAACGGGCACTTCGGTTGGTTCCAGGCTCTTGTGGTTCTACCTGTGTTATGATGCGTGGCTGTGCATATATATCATTTCTTCTCCGGGATAAATTCCTACAATGAGCTTGTAGCCTCCAAGGCTGTACATTTATACTTTTAGTGGTTTATAAACTTATGAAAATGTCAGCACCATGAGAGCAGGGCTTTTGTGTCTTCTGTTCCCTGCTGTATCCCCCAGTGCCTAGCACAGTGCCTGGCACACAGTAGGCGCTCAGGAAATATTTTTGGAATGAATGAATACTGCCATATTATCTTCCAATGCGTGATTGCCAGAGTAATTTACAGCACCACCAGCAATGGGTGAAAGCAGACGTATTACCAAATGTTTTTCTTTGCCCTTTTGATGAGTTCTTAAAAGTTGGCATCACTTTGGTGTTTAATTTGCAGTTTTCTTATTGTAAATGAGGCTGACCCTTGTTTTCAGGTGGTAAATGTATGTTGTATTCCCAGGTTCTCTCAAGAATCCTAGACACCACTGAGGGGTTTGAACCCCAGACCCCTCCTAATGCTGGGACCCCAGGGGCCTGGGGCACCTCAGCCCCTGAGACTGTGAGCCCCAAGGCAGCATCTGCCAGAGCCCAGCTGTGGGTTAGGGGACCTGCCCCTTTAGGAGTACCTCCCTAACCCCTATATACACCCTCCCCCAGCTTTAACAACCTGGGTATCCAGTGTGTGAGGAAGAAGGAGATCGAGGCTGCAATTGAGCGGAAGATTCAGCTGGGTATTGACCCCTACAATGGTGAGTCCTGTGCCTAGCCTGGTTGTCCTGTCCTCTGGACCCTCCGCTCCCTTGCCACACCCCTCCCCTTGCTTTCTCCAGTATCCACCATCTGCCCAGCCCCACCCCTTCCCTGTCCCCTCTCCCCCACCCTCGGGCTTCCCGTATCTCTCCCACAGCTGGATCCCTGAAGAACCATCAGGAGGTGGACATGAATGTCGTGAGGATCTGTTTCCAGGCCTCATACAGAGACCAGCAGGGACAGATGCGCCGGATGGACCCTGTGCTCTCTGAGCCCGTTTATGACAAGAGTGAGTCAAGGTTGCTGTGTCCATTAGGGTTGTCCTTGGCTGTAGGTACCAGAAAGCCCCACATACAATGGCATGAATATACAGGGAGGTCTTTATTTTTATTTATTTATTTTTTTTATGGTGACATAAACAAAGCAAATCTATAATTACCATCCATCTCCAGTAAAGCCAAGAAAACCATTTAGGCACCCTAGGCATTTGTGAAAATTTATCTATGATATGATGGATATTGTCCAACTGTACTTGAACCATCAGACAAATTAAAGCAGCCCATTTCTGGGATCTGTTCACATCCCATATGTTCTTTTAACCATAGATAGTCTATAGTCATGAGATTTTGGGGTGCTACAACTTGCACCCCTCCCAACTCCTGGTTGAGTTCCAACAGTACAGATCCAGTCAAATTCGTTGTCTCACTGTATGCACATGCCAGCCTAGACATCTCCCTCCTCCTTCTTATGGCAAGTCCAGGAGATGGTGGGCTGGATGCAGCCACAACCGCAGCATCGTCCGGATCCCTGTGGAGGCTTTTTGATGATCATCCCCCGGCACGAGTCCTCCAGAGAGTGCTGATGCCGGAAGCTCCTCCTCATATCGTATCTTAGTTCATTTTCTGGGTATCCAAGCTAGGCCTTGATCTTCTGCGTAGAAACAAACAGACCCTTTGCCCACACTTTGACATGCCCTCTATACCACTGTGCAGAACTCATTGGAGGTCAGCACACAGTAACTTTTTTTTTTTTTTTTTTTAATTAAGAGAAAGGAATATTATCAGAAAAGAGTACCTCCATAGCTGATCATCTGACACCCTTTAAGTGATCAACATTAAGGATATTTAAAGCATGCGTTGATCTTTGATTTACCAATAGTTTTATCCTGTTAAGGAGTAATCCCCCTTTTCTTTCTTTTTTTTTTTTTTTTTTTTTTTAAATTTTTAATCTACACTTACCTGAAGAATACTATGTTTACTATGCTCTCCCCTATATCAGGTCCCCCCTAACAACCACATTACGGTTACTGTCCATCAGCTTAGCAAAATGTTGTAGAGTCACTACTTGTCCTCTCTGTGTTGTGCAGCCCACCCTCCCCTTTCTCCCTCCCCCCCATGCATGCTAATCTTAATACCCCCCTTCTTCTTCCCCCCCCTTATCCCTCCCTGCCCACCCATCCTCCCCAGTTCCTTTCCCTTTGGTACCTGTTAGTCCATTTTTGGGTTCTGTAATTCTGCTGCTGTTTTGTTCCTTCAGTTTTTCCTTTGTTCCTATACTCCTCAGATGAGTGAAATCATTTGGTATTTCTCTTTCTCCGCTTGGCTTATTTCACTGAGCATAATACTCTCCAGCTCCATCCATGTTGCTGCAAATGGTTGGATTTTTCCACTTCTTATGGCTGAGTAGTATTCCATTGTGTATATGTACCACATCTTCTTTATCCATTCATCTACAGATGGACATTTAGGTTGCTTCCAATTCTTGGCTATTGTAAATAGTGCTGCGATAAACATAGGAGTGCATCTGTCTTTCTCAAACTTGATTGCTGCGTTCTTAGGGTAAATTCCTAGGAGTGGAATTCCTGGGTCAAATGGTAGGTCTGTTTTGAGCATTTTGATGCACCTCCATACTGCTTTCCACAATGGTTGAACTAATTTACATTCCCACCAGCAGTGTAGGAGGGTTCCCCTTTCTCCACAGCCTCGCCAACATTTGTTGTTGTTTGTCTTTTGGATGGCAGCTATCCTTACTGGTGTGAGGTGATACCTCATTGTAGTTTTAATTTGCATTTCTCTGATAATTAGCGATGTGGAGCATCTTTTCATGTGTCTCTTGGCCATCTGTATTTCTTTTTTGGAGAACTGTCTGTTCAGTTCCTCTGCCCATTTTTTAATTGGGTTATTTGTTTTTTGTTTGTTGAGGCGTGTGAGCTCTTTATATATTCTGGACGTCAAGCCTTTATCAGATCTGTCATTTTCAAATATATTCTCCCATACTGTAGGGTTCCTTTTTGTTCTATTGATGGTGTCTTTCGCTGTACAGAAGCTTTTCAGCTTAATGTAGTCCCACTTGCTCATTTTTGCTGTTGTTTTCCTTGCCCGGGGAGATATGTTCAAGAAGAGATCACTCATGTTTATGTCTAAGAGGTTTTTGCCTATGTTTTTTTCCAAGAGTTTAATGGTTTCGTGACTTACATTCAGGTCTTTGATCCATTTTGAGTTTACCTTTGTATATGGGGTTAGACAATGGTCCAGTTTCATTCTCCTACATGTAGCTGTCCAGTTTTGCCAGCACCATCTGTTGAAGAGACTGTCATTTTGCCATTGTATGTCCATGGCTCCTTTATCAAATATTAATTGACCATATATGTTTGGGTTAATTTCTGGGGTCTCTAATCTGTTCCACTGGTCTGTGGCTCTGTTCTTGTGCCAGTACCAAATTGTCTTGATTACTATGGCTTTGTAGTAGAGCTTGAAGTTGGGGAGTGAGATCCCCCCTACTTTATTCTTCTTTTTCAGGATTGCTTTGGCTATTCGGGGTCTTTGGTGTTTCCATATGAATTTTTGAATTATTTGTTCCAATTCATTGAAGAATGTTGCTGGTAATTTGAGAGGGATTGCATCAAATTTGTATATTGCTTTCGGCAGGATGGCCATTTTGACGATATTAATTCTTCCTAGCCATGAGCATGGGATGAGTTTCCATTTATTAGTGTCCCCTTTAATTTCTCTTAAGAGTGACTTGTAGTTTTCAGAGTATAAGTCTTTCACTTCCTTGGTTAGGTTTATTCCTAGGTATTTTATTCTTTTTGATGCAATGGTGAATGGAATTGTTTTCCTGATTTCTCTTTCTATTGATTCGTTGTTAGTGTATAGGAAAGCTACAGATTTCTGTGTGTTAATTTTGTATCCTGCAACTTTGCTGTATTCCGATATCAGTTCTAGTAGTTTTGGAGTGGAGTCTTTAGGGTTTTTTATGTACAGTATCATATCATCTGCAAATAGTGACAGTTTAACTTCTTCTTTACCAATCTGGATTCCTTGTATTTCTTTGTTTTGTCTGATTGCCGTGGCTAGGACCTCCAGTACTATGTTAAATAACAGTGGGGAGAGTGGGCATCCCTGTCTGGTTCCCGATCTCAGTGGAAATGCTTTCAGCTTCTCGCTGTTCAGTATAATGCTGGCTGTGGGTTTATCATATATGGCCTTTATTATGTTGAGGTACTTGCCCTCTATTCCCATTTTGCTGAGAGTTTTTATCATGAATGGATGTTGAATTTTGTCAAATGCTTTTTCAGCATCTATGGAGATGATCATGTGGTTTTTGTCTTTCTTTTTGTTGATGTGGTGGATGATGTTGATGGATTTTCGAATGTTGTACCATCCTTGCATCCCTGGGATGAACCCCACTTGGTCATGGTGTATGATCCTTTTGATATACTGTTGAATTCTGTTTGCTAATATTTTATTGAGTATTTTTGCATCTACATTCATCAGGGATATTGGTCTGTAATTTTCTTTTTTGGTGGGGTCTTTTCCTGGTTTTGGTATTAGGGTGATGTTGGCTTCATAGAATGAGTTTGGGAGTATTCCCTCTTCTTCTATTTTGTGGAACACTTTAAGGAGAATGGGTATTATGTCTTCTCTGTGTGTCTGATAAAATTCCGAGGTAAATCCGTCCGGCCCCGGGGTTTTGTTCTTGGGTAGTTTTTTGATTACTGTTTCAATTTCTTTGCTTGTAATTGGTTTGTTTAACTTTTGTGTTTCTTCCTTGGTCAGTCTTGGGAGGTTGTATTTTTCTAGGAAGTTGTCCATTTCTTCTAGGTTTTCCAGCTTGTTGGCATATAGGTTTTCATAGTAGTCTTTAATAATTCTTTGTATTTCTGTGGAGTCTGTCGTGATTTTTCCATTCTCATTTCTGATTATGTTGATTTGTGTTGACTCTCTTTTTCTCTTAATAAGTTGGGCTAGAGGCTTATCTATTTTGTTTATTTTCTCAAAGAACCAGCTCTTGGTTTCGTTGATTTTTGCTATTGTTTTATTCTTCTCAATTTTGTTTATTTCTTCTCTGATCTTTATTATGTCCCTCCTTCTGCTGACTTTAGGCCTCATTTGTTCTTCTTTTTCCAGTTTTAATAATTGTGATGTTAGACTATTCATTTGGGATTGTTCTTCCTTCTTCAAGTGTGCCTGGATTGCTATATACTTTCCTCTTAAGACTGCTTTCGCTGCATCCCACAGAAGTTGGGGCTTAGTGTTGTTGTTGTCATTTGTTTCTATATATTCCTTGATCTCTATTTTGATTTGTTCATTGATCCATTGATTATTTAGTAGCATGTTGTTAAGCCTCCATGTGTTTGTGAGCCTTTTTGTTTTCTTTGTAGAATTTATTTCTACTTTCATACCTTTGTGGTCTGAAAAATTGGTTGGTAGAATTTCAATATTGTGGAATTTACTGAGGCTCTTTTTGTGAGCTAGTATGTGGTCTATTCTGGAGAATGTTCCATGTGCACTTGAGAAGAATGTATATCCTGTTGCTTTTGGATGTAAAGTTCTATAGATGTCTATTAGGTCCATCTGTTCTAGTGTGTTGTTCAGTGCCTGTGTGTCTTTACTTATTTTCTGCCCGGTGGATCTATCCTTTGGGGTGAGTGGTGTGTTGAAGTCTCCTACAATGAATGCATTGCAGTCTATTTCCCTCTTTAGTTCTGTTAGTATTTGCTTCACATATGCTGGTGCTCCTGTATTGGGTGCATATATATTTAGAATGGTTATATCCTCTTGTTGGACTGAGCCCTTTATCATTATGTAGTGGCCTTCTTTATCTCTTGTTACTTTCTTTGTTTTGAAGTCTATTTTGTCTGATATTAGTACTGCAACCCCTGCTTTCTTCTCACTGTTGTTTGCCTGAAATATGTTTTTCCATCCCTTGACTTTTAGTCTATGCTTATCTTTGGGTTTAAGGTGAGTTTCTTGTAAGCAGCATATAGATGGGTCTTGCTTTTTTATCCATTCTATTACTCTATGTCTTTTGATTGGTGCATTAAGTCCATTTACATTTAGGGTGACTATTGAAAGATATGTACTTATTGCCATTGCAGGCTTTAGATTCGTGGTTACCAAAGGTTCAAGGTTAGCTTCTTTAGTATCTTACTGCCTAACTTAGCTCGCTTATTGAGCTGTTATATACACTGTCTGGAGAGTCTTTTCTTCTCTCCCTTCTTATTCCTCCTCCTCCATTCTTCATATGTTGTGTGTTTTGTTCTGTGCTCTTTTTAGGGGTGCTCCCATCTAGAGCAGTCCCTGTAGGATGCCCTGTAGAGGTGGTTTGTGGGAAGCAAATTCCCTCAGCTTTTGCTTGTCTGGGAATTGTTTGATCCCACCATCATATTTAAATGATAGTCGTGCTGGATACAGTATCCTTGGTTCAAGGCCCTTCTGTTTCATTGCATTAAGTATATCATGCCATTCTCTTCTGGCCTGTAGGGTTTCTGTTGAGAAGTCTGATGTTAGCCTGATTGGTTTTCCTTTATAGGTGACCTTTTTCTCTCTAGCTGCCTTTAAAACTCTTTCCTTGTCCTTGATCCTTGCCATTTTAATTATTATGTGTCTTGGTGTTGTCCTCCTTGGATCCTTTCTGTTGGGGGTTCTGTATAATTCCATGGTCTGTTCGATTATTTCCTCCCCCAGTTTGGGGAAGTTTTCAGCAATTATTTCTTCAAAGACACTTTCTATCCCTTTTCCTCTTTCTTCCTCTTCTGGTATCCCTATAATACGAATGTTTTTCCTTTTGTATTGGTCACATATTTCTCTTAGTGTTGTTTCATTCCTGGAGATCCTTTTATCTCTCTCTATGTCAGCTTCTATACGTTCCTGTTCTCTGGCTTCTATTCCTTCAATGGCCTCTTGCATCTTATCCATTCTGCTTATAAATCCTTCCAGGGATTGTTTCACTTCTGTGATCTCTTTCCTGACATCTGTGATCTCCTTCCGGACTTCATCCCACTGCTCTTGCATTTTTCTCTGCATCTCATCCCATTGCTCTTGCATTTTTTTCTGCATCTCTGTCAGCATGTTCATGATTTTTATTTTGAATTCTTTTTCAGGAGGACTAGTTAGGTCTGTCTCCTTCTCAGGTGTTGTCTCTGTGATCTTTGTCTGCCTGTAGTTTTGCCTTTTCATGGTGATAGAGATAGTTTGCAGAGCTGGTACAAGTGACCGCTGGAAGAGCTTCCCTTCTTGTTGGTTTGTAGCCTTTTCCTGGGAGAATAGCGACCTCTAGTGGCTTGTGCTGGGCAGCTGTGCGCAGACAGGGCTTCTGCTTCCTGCCCAGTTGCTTTGGGGTTTATCTCCGCTGTTGCTGTGGGCTTGGCCTGGCTGGGGCTGTTCCTCCAAAATGGTGGAGCCCCGTTGGAGGGGGAGCGGCCGGGAGGCTATTTATCTCCGTAAGGGGCCTCTGTGCTCCCTGCTGCCCAGGGGGTTAGAGTGCCCAGAGATCCTCAGATTCCCTGCCTCTGGTCTAAGTGACCTGTCCTGCCCCTTTAAGACTTCCAAAAAGCACTCCCCTTCACAAGGCGCTGGGTTCTTGCAGGTGTGGATGTGGTCTGGATGTTGTCCTGTGTCCTGTGGTCTCTATTTTAGGAAGATTTTTCTTTGTTATATTTTCATAGCTCTATGTATTTTTGGGAGGAGATTTCCACTGCTCTACTCACGCCGCCATCCTGGCTCCGCCTCCAGGTCTTTATTTTTATTTGTCTCATTTATTATGTCTGTTCCTCGTCTGCTGCGCAGCAGTGTCAGGGTCCTGGTTCAGCAGCTCTGTGATCCTCTTGACATTTCCCTCATGGTCATGAACTGGCTGCCACAGCTCCTGACATCATCACTGTGTTCAAGGCATGATAGGCAGTGTCGCCCTATATGGTGTGTAGGCTGTACACTGCCCAATTCTAGGGGTCAGCATTTACTACGTAGCCTATGGAAATGGGGCCTCCTACTGTTGTAGAATGCACAACCTATACAACTATACTAGGCAGTCCTAGGGTATAGGCAGCATGAGCATGAGTCTCTCTCTCTTTTATAGAAGAAATTAATATATTCTCTGGAAGCCCACTCGTTATATCTCATTGGCCAGAACTTGATCCCATGGCCACCCTTAATTGCAAGAACATCTGGGAAACCAAGTATTTAGGTTTGTCATCTGCTAGAGAGGGGTATAGGCATGGAAGAGGGGATTGGGACAGCCAGCCTGTAGTGACTGCCACAAGCTTCAGGATGGGGAAGGACATTAATTCAGTCAGAGCTTCCATGGATGCAAGTTATAGAATCCCAGCTCAAATGGATTGAAGCAGAAACAAAGAAGAATTTGTTCCATCAGCTGAGAAAGTCTGAAGATAGCACAGTGCTTCAGGTCTGGCTCCATCCTGGTCCTCAGTGATGTCATTAGGCATCTGTCTCTTCCCATTTCTCACCTATGCTTCCTCCATGTTAGAGCCATTCTTGTCAGGGCCCTCCTGTGTGGGGGCAAAATGACTGTGCAGCTTTAGGCTTATTTATATTCTACCGTCTTGGCACCTCTCCCCCACTGCCAAGGAGAGCGTCTCTTACCCAGAAGGCCAAGCACACATGAGGTCTCAGGAAAGAAAAAATTTCTTTACTCATTCTTTTTTATTTTCAGCCACAACGTTCATATTTTTGTTCAGAGTCTCAAGGCTGTCTCTCATTGGCCTGGTTTTATGATCTTCTCTGACCAGTCAGCTGAGGCCAGAGGGAGGCAATGCTCTGATTGGCCAGGTCTGGGACACGTGGTCACTGCTGAGCTAGGGAGTAGGCTTAGCCCAACCCAATCCCTACAACTGAGATGGAAGGAAAACGGGGGGACCTGTTAACAAAAGACGGACTAAGACTGCTACAGGCAGAAGAGGTGTCCACTAGAGATGAACTCTCTAGGCCACTAACTCTCCAGGCCATTGACTCTTGTCTAAGAATTGTCTCTGGTCCCTGACCCCACCAACTCTCTCTGAGGTCTGAAGGACTCCCTTCTGGCTCAGTACCCACCAGACCTCAGCTGGTGGAGGACCAGCAAGTTTCCCTTCACTCTTGCTGTCTGAGCGTCTTCTTTTCTACCTGGAGCACAGGCTCCAGGAGGACCGGGTGCCTTGACTCCTCCATTCCCACCTCTCCATGGCCCAGGGTGGGCACTTACCTGGTACCTGATAAGGGTTTGATGACTGAATTCTGTTTTTTTCTCATATACCTTTGTGCTCTTTCCCAGAGTCCACAAACACATCAGAACTGCGGATTTGCCGAATCAACAAGGAGAGTGGGCCATGCACGGGTGGCGAGGAGCTCTACCTGCTGTGTGACAAGGTGCAGAAAGGTGAGGAGCCTGGGACAACGAGCAGGCAGAGGGGTGTCTGGTGGCTTGCAGGGGTACCCATGGAGCCTGGGGGGGTGAGGCAGGGGAGGAGCCGGTTGCCTAGGGCAGCAGAATGGAAGGATCCAGAACCCTAGTTTTGCAGTCTGGCAGAAACAGCTGATTGCTTCATTCACTCACTGAGTCACTGAGTCCCCCCCCCACCACTTACTCACGGACAAAGAGGGTGGGCTGTCTGGGTGCCAAGCAGTGCTTGCCAACACTAGCTCAGGTGACTCTGATATTAACATCATGGAGTTACATAAATAAATGCTTTATGGCACTTGTGATAAGGGTTATGGATAAAGAAAACAGGGTAGGAGATGTGTCTCCTCCACTTCATTCATGTCTATTCAAATGTCTCTTTCTCAAATAGGGTTTAAAAAAAAAACCTACCCAGGATTGCCTGGCTGGGAAGAACTTCCCTTTTACTGGATCTTGTCTGGACCCTTTGCTCTTTCTTTCTTGTGACTCTATTATAAATAACATCACCAGGAGCAGTAATACAGAGCTAACATTTATCTTGTTCTTACTGTATGCCAAGATCTATTGTAAGCACTTTGTACATATCATCTAACTGCGTAGCAGTTCTATAAGGCAGATCCAATTATTATCTTCCTCTTATAGATGAGGAAACTGAGGCACAGAAAGGTTGAGTAACTTGCTCAAGGTCACACAGCTAGGCAGGTAGAGACAGGATTTGACTACAGGTGGTCTGTGCTTGTAATCATTCTTCTAGAAGATGAATAGAAAAATAGAGTTGGAAAAAAAATCACAAAGATGGTAAAAAAGAATATTCGGGGGAAAATGATGCTAAGAAAGGGAGTAGAGGGTAATGGCTAGAGGGATTGTGGGGCACAATTTTATTTACAGGGTCCAGAGAGGAGTGCTCTCAGGAGATGACATTGGAGCCATTGAAGGATCTATATGGCCCTCTGGGAAAAGTGTTTCAGCAGAGGGAACAGCACGTGCAAAGGCTCTGAGCCGGTCTAGCTGTTGGAGGACTGTCAGGGCCACTGGGGCAGGAGGGCAGCGAGAGGCAAGGAAAGTGGAAGGACCCATCACAGGAGTGCCCTCTCCCCACCAGCCTTTCTCAGGCTGTGTGATTATATCCTTAATGTGTCCCACACTGGGTCATAGGGGCAGGACCCAGGGCTGCCTTGGTGAGCATTTGTGTCCTCGGAACCGCCCAGTCCATGGCCAAGCACACATGAGGTCTCAGGAAAGAAAAAAATTTCTTTACTCATTCTTTTTTATTTTTAGCCACAACGTTCATTCTTTAAAAAGAATTTTTTTAAGCCATTTTAAAGTATACAATTCAGTGACATAGTACATTCACAATGTTGTGCCACCATCCCCGTGCAGTCCAGAATATTTTCATCACCCCAAAAAGAAACCCCTTACTCACTGAGCAGTCACTCCGTTCCCCACTCCTCCAGCCTCTGGCCACCACCAGTCCATCTTCTGTCCCTATGGATTTGCTTGTTCTGTACTTTTCATATAAATGGAATCATACGCTGCGTGTCCTTATGTGTCTTTCACTCAGCATGATGTTTTCGGGGTTTATCCCTAGGGTCGCAAGTGTCAATGCTTTGTGCCCTCTTATGGCTGAGTACTGTTCTGCTGTCTGGATGCGCCCCATTTGGTTTGTCCATTCATGGGCTGATGGGCGTTTGGGTTGGTACCACTTTTTGGCTGTTACGAGTAGTGTTGCTGGGAGTATTGGCGTGTGAGTTTCTGTTTGAACGCCCATCTTCATTTCTTCTGAGTGCCTATCCAGGAGAGGGAAGTCACATTTTGAGTGAAGGAGCAAATGGTTATTGGGTGGCTCCTCTGTGCTGGGCCCTGTGCTAGGCAGTGCTGGGATGCCACAGGGACACACACAGCCCTGGGCCCTGCCCTCACAGGGCTCTCAGATCATGGGAAGCAGGGAAAGAAATACAAATTACAAAATGTGGGTTTGACTGAGAAAGAAGACAAAGTACGGAGACTAGACAGCAGGAAGACCAGGCAGGGACTGGGCATCTGGGAAGGCTTCCCAGTGGAGGTGATAGTTAACTGGCATCTGAGGCATGCCAAGGAGATTGTTAGGGCCTGGGAGTTGGGGTCAGGGCAGGGAAACCTTCCTAGGTGTGAATGAGAAGCCACAGATGATGGGAATCCTGTTCTGTCACTCATTCACTGGCCAGACTTGGCCAGGTGACTTCACACCCCTGAGCCACTGTTTCTTCATCCCTAAAGTGAGCTGGTGTTCGGATGAGATGGGATCCCAACTACCCAAGAACTACACTACAAAGAGTTGGCGTTTACTGAGGATATTCTGACTGCTGGGTCTGAAGCTAGTACTTTGCGTAATGCAAATGGAAAGAATCATACTTAACACGGACTGAACACCTATTATACACTAAATCCTCTCTTGCAAGCCTTTTACTTGGCTAGACTCATTTAACTCTCCTACTAATCCTGTGAGGCAGGGACTATGGTTTCTATCTGTTAAGGTAAGAAACTGGGCCCAGAGATCTCAGCTAACTTCCCGTAGGAGCTGGTGGCGAAGAGCTCTAACCTGCCTGGACTCCCTCCCATCTTGGCTCCACTACTTGCTATCTGTGTGACCTTGGACAAGTGACTTTACCTCTCTGTGCCTTTGCTTCCTCCTCTATATAATGGGCTTCCCAAAGGTACCTTTTTCATAGGGTTGTTATGTGGCTTAGAGGCAAGCCATGTGTGTCCAACACATATAAAGCCTCAGTAGATGGAGTTAGTGTGATAAGCGGCACTAAGAAAAAGAAATAGCAGGCAGAGTAGCATGTTGAATCCAGACCATTCTACCAGCTGTGTGACCTTGGTAAGTCCATAACCACTCCAAGCCTCAGTTTCCCCATCTTTGAAGTGGATCCATAGAAAAGGGTTAACATAGCAGGTCTGAGACTGTTATCCTTTGACAGTCCTGCTTACAAGGTTGGCCCTTGGGCACAGTTCGTAGCTCGGGGGAATCAGCATGTGCTTTGTGACTGCACTGGGAGAGGACTCTGACAACTCGTGCCTACTTTCCCCTGGACTTTGCTCCAGGCACCTTTTCCTGTTCCTGAGTATGCTTGGTGTCATTTTGCTGTACTAAGTCATAGCCAGGAGTATAACTATAGACTGAGTTCTGTGAGTGCCTTGAATGAATCATGGATCTGATGGTGGTCTTGGGGGTCCCTGACATGGTGGGGATATTAATTCTACCTGCCTCTGAGGTTGCCAGAAGAATTAAATGATGTATATAAAAATACATAAAACACTTAGTGACTGGCACTCAGTAGGTGCTCAACAGGTTAGCTGCCACTATGATTAGTTTTATTCTTAGGAATATTAATATTGATGTCGGGGAGGCCGAATGAGTTGGGGATCTGATGGGCCGGTATCCCGGCTCAGCTGACATCTCTGCTTTCCCACCAGAGGATATATCCGTGGTGTTCAGCAGAGCCTCCTGGGAAGGCCGGGCTGACTTTTCCCAGGCCGACGTGCACCGCCAGATTGCTATCGTGTTCAAGACACCACCCTACGAGGACCTGGAGATCATTGAGCCAGTGACAGTGAACGTCTTCCTGCAGCGTCTTACTGATGGAGTCTGCAGCGAGCCTTTGCCCTTCACGTACCTGCCTCGGGACCATGGTAACCTTGGCAACCCGGGGTGACCTACCGCCCTAGGGACTAGGTCTTTGGCCTTGCTTGGGGTGACCCAGAGGGGCCAGGGGAAGAAGCAGAAGTAAAATGCAGGCTCAGCTGCACAGACTGGAGTTTAAATCCTGGCTCTGCCATTTACTGGCTGTGTAGCCTTGGCTTCTCCAAGCCTCAGTCTTCCACTGTGAAAAATGGAAATGATAATGGTACCCATCTGATGGCATTTTGGGAATATTTAATCAATCCTCCCGTCAGCACACCTGCTTATGCCTGGCCTTTTCCCGAGTAGTGCTGGGGACACAATGGTGACTGAGATAGCACCAGCCCTGCCCTCATGAGTCTCACAGTCTTACAGGGAGACAGACCTGTTGCCACATAGTGATAACGAAAGTGGGCAGGACAGAGACAGAACAGCTCAGGGCATCTAACCCAGGCTCAGGGGTCAGGGAGGCTTCCTAAAGCTGGGCTGAGGATGGGAGGATGTGTAAGCTGTTCTCCAGTGAAGCAGTAGGGGTTGAAGAAGAGGGTTGTAAGCAGCTGGACACCAAGTGCAATATTGTGCCTGGGGTATTCCAGGAACAGCAGAGAAACCTAGTGCGGCCAAAAGTGGGTTTGGGTTTCATTCTGATTAAGATGTGGACATCTATTTGCATTGGTTGGCCAAGAGTTAGAACAGCTCAACAACTTCCTCAATGATCTCTATAACTAATTCTTAATTTGTATTATTGATGGATTATTTTGTATGTCCCTGGTGTCTCCTGAACAGACAGCTACGGCGTGGACAAGAAGCGGAAACGGGGGATACCCGGTGTCCTTGGGGAGCTGAATAGCTCTGGTGTGTCTCCTCTGCCTCTTTCCATGCCCATCTCCAGGTCCCTGGGAGGGGATGATTGATCCCTCTGCCCAGCCCCACCCCAGGGTAGGGAGAAGTGGCTGTGGGGATCCACGGATCCTCATTTCTGCTTTCCCTTAGACCCCCATGGCATCGAGAGCAAACGGCGGAGGAAGAAGCCAGCCTTCCTGGACCACTTCCTGCCCAGCCACAGCTCAGGTGGGTCCGACTCAGTGCAGGCCCCTGCCGCCTGGGGTGGGCTGAGGGTGAACTGAAGCCCTGCTTTGCTGGCCTCTTCAGGTCCCCCACCAAGAACTCCCCCAAGGCCAGTGACTCACCACTTAGCCAGCAGCAGAAAGTGGAAAGAATAAATGGTTCTGATACAGTCTGCAGGCTCTGATGTCCACTGGGCCATTTACTTGCTTTGTGACCTTCACCAACTTGCTTCACCTCTCAGAGCCTCAGGGGCTCCTCTTGAAATTCTCCTCACATAACCTGCCTCACTGGCATTTTAAAATGTATGTATTTTTATAGACACTATATCCCAGGCACATAAGTGTTCTGCGGATGTTTTCTCATTGAATCTACAGTCACCTGTGAGGTGGGTGTTATCTCTCTCGCTCTCTCTCTTTCTCTCTCTCACACACACACACATTTTACTGGTGAAGAAACTGAGGCCCAGAGAGGTGAAGTCTCTTACCTGAGGTCACACAGCTAGCCTGTGATGGAACAGGGAGTTGCTCCTGGGCATCTGTATCTTTTAATGATGAAACACTAACAGGTAGCAGGGAGTAGATGGTGGATGAATGGAGGTGGTTGTCAGAGCCAGCCAACCACGAATTCAGAGCCTGTCTCTAGTCCAGCCACCCTGTGGCCTGTCCTACCCGACTTCACCTCAACTCACATGTCAGCCTTCAGTGTCCATGAACTCCAACTCTATCTGTCTGCCATCAGAAGTAGCCTCCCCACCCACTGATCACTAGCTCTGAGACCACTGCCCCCAATACCCCAGCTACCTGAAGACTCGCAGCTCCCAGCTAGGCTCCAACCACTCAGTCTACCCAGCCTGAACCACTCCAGTCAGGTCCACCCTGGGGGTGTAAGGTACCAGCTGTTGTCCCGGCAACCCACTACAACTGGTAACCAATGCCCCAAAGCTCCGCCCCTAGCAACCGCCAATCCTAGCTCACTTCTCCACCTTCAATTTCCCAACCCCTCCTCAACAGCCACCCACGATTCATTTACATCCTCCCTCACCCCAGTTTCCCAGTGTCTTAAGTCTCACTGGGGCAAAACTCTCTTGGCACTACAAAGATTATAATGGTTAGAAGCATGGCCTCTGGAATCAGACTGGGTTTGAAATTTTGAGGCCACAATTTAGCCACTGTGTGTGACCTCTTTGGGCCTCAGTTTACTCATCTGTCATAGGACCTTTTAGGGTCCTTTCTAGAATTTAGTGAGGTCGTGGTTATCTAGCACAGTGTCTGGTACAGAGTTAGTGCTCAGGAGGTGTTAGGAACTTGCCAGAATTCAGGAATACCACCTGCATTTGTTATGATCATATTTTATTATGTTCATAGCAAAACCGAAAATAACAGGGGTTTCAAAAGAATAGAATTTATTTCTCTCCTCACATAAACACATTCCAGAGGTAGTTGTCCAGGGATGGTTTGGGGGCCACATGATCATCAGAGACCCAAGCTCCTGCCATTTTCAACTTGTATCTCATGGTCCAAGATGACTGCTGCATCTCCAGCCATCATGCCTATATTAAAGCCAGCATAACTTAGTCAGATGTCCACATTAAGTTGTAAGGAAATAGCATCTGGGAAATAGAGGCTGGAAAATAGGGTCCAATAGCCCTGGGTCTCTTTATGAGACACATGTAAACAGCCTTTGTTGGTGAGGTTTTTCTTGCTTCAGAAAGAGAGACTCTCCTATAATGACACATTTTACCTTACGATTTGGGTCTCACTTGGGTCTCCCATGGTGTGAATATCACTTTTGGGGTTGTCTCTGCATTTTGGGGGTCTTTGGAGCTTCCTCTCCTTCCTCACTTTGGGGAACTTCCCTGCTGCAGGAGCATGGTTTCAACCCTGGTTCCACAACCCCACTGCTGTATGTAATTGGTTGTTTTGTCTCAGTTTGCTTATTAAATGAGAATGGTGATAGTTCTTGTTCAGAGGTTGTCCTCGGGATTAAAGGAGGCCAACACTGATAATGCACTTAGCATAGGACAGGGCATTCCACTTTAGGACCTGGCCAGGAGTTGACCCTGAAGCCCACCATACTTCCTTCTCTCTTCTCATCACAGCAGGCCCTTTCCTCCCCCCGTCAGCCCTGCTGCCAGACACAGACTTCTTCCCTGGCACCGTGACCCTCCCTGGCCTGGAGCCCCCAGGCGGGCAGGATCTTCTGGAGGATAGCTTTGCCTACGATGACGCCACAGCCCCCACGCTCTTCACCATGCTGGACATGCTGGCCCCGGCGCCACCACTCGCCAGCGCTGTCGCAGGCAACGGGGGTGTAGGGGCCTCAGCTGGGGAACCTCCCGGCCCCGAGCCGCTGACGCTGGACTCATACCAGGCCCCGGGCCCCGGGGACGGGGGCACTGCCAGCCTTGTGGGCAGCAACATGTTTCCCAATCAGTACCGCGAGGTGGGTTTTGGGGGTGGCCTTCTGTCTCCAGGGCCTGAGGCCACGTAGCCCCCGCGGCGCTGGGTGAGGAGGGAGGTGAGGAGCGGAGCAAACTCATCCAAGATGTCCAGCACTCCCATCGCCTTGGGCCGCCCTTGGTGAGTCGTCCGACCTCCTGATCCTTCTGAATCGGACATCTTCAGCGCTGGCGAAAAGCTCCGTGGCCCCGCTTTCCCCTGAGCCCATTTTACAAATGAGAAAACTGTCTGGGGAGGAAAAGGGGCGTGGCCTCTGCGCCGGCTTGTCCCAGCTGCCTCGGCTCCGCGAACGGGGGGCACCTCCATGCAGATTCTGAGGAATGTACATATGGGAAGAGGGTGCACATCCCCAGCCCTCCTTTCCCAGGCTTGAAGGTGGGGGTAAGTTGTTCAGTCTTCCCAATAAAGATTAATTTTTGAGCGTTGGGAGGTCTTGTCTCTTTTTCGCTTGGGAAACACCCCCGACCCCTAAAGCCCAAAGCGTCGAGGCTCCCCTGCACTCAGACGCTCCTCCCGCCCCCGCAGGGCCCGCCCCTCGCGTCAGCGGAAGTGTGCTCCGCCACGCTCCACCCCTCACCCTTCGCGCGGCCTCCCACTTCCGTTTCCGGTGCGGGCAGCGCGCGAGCGCGGTGGTGGGAGGCTACGACTAGCCGGTGAGTGCGGGTGAGGGGCCCAGACCTTTTGGCCTTTGGCGGGCGTCAGCCCAGTTTCCTCCTTCCCTCGGCCTCTACCCGGGATGCTGTGAGCGTCTGTGCTCGGCTCCGAGGGCTGCCCGCCCCGCACCCCTCCGGCCGCGCCCCTGCCCCCGCCGTGGGCCCGAACTCGCCACGTCCAACCCGGCCGCCTGCCACAGGTCCCGCCCTCTTGTCAAAAAACTTAGCCGGAACCCTCAGGCCCAGACCCGATCCCGAGCCCTGGCCAGACCCTCGAGCTTCGCCCTGGTCCGCAAGCCTTGCCCCTAAGCTCAGCCCCCCTCCTCCCGTCCGCCAGCTCCGCCTCCCTCAAGCTCTGCTCCGTTTGTTAGCTCCCCCACCCCCAATTCAGATTCCTTGAGGAATCTTATCCCGCTCTGGGCTCTCCTTTCAGCACTCTCCCAGGTTCCCCTCCCGCAAGCATCGTCTTCCATCCACGCCCTTCACCTGGCCTCGACCCCCACTTCCAAACCTCTTTTCTGTTCCTATGAAATTTTTCTCTTCTCCACCTGCTTTCATCTTCATCCTCCTGCGAGCCGTACCCACCCTCATGGATGGCCCCTGGTGGGAGCCATTTCAGGTCTTCCTTCTCTTCTGACGTACTGTCCCAGCTGCCCGGGTCTGCCTCCATACATGACTTGAAACACTCCCTCCTTACATTCCAAAACCCTTCATCCTTGATTCCAGCGCCTGAACCCAGAACACTCCTTTCCCAGGGTTGCTCACTCCAGAATCACCCAGGGAGAGGGGTTCAGAATGCCCGAGGTACTGGATCAGAGTTGCCAGGGATAAGCCTGAGCAGCTGGCACACAGCTCTGCAGCCTCACTTCCCCTCCCTGGAGCTGGTGTTTAGGATCAGCTCTGTCACCATCTTGTCAGCTGACTTCGATTCTGCTCATACGGTTTTTACAGACCATCTGACATTCTCTTCCCCTCATCCCCCAGGTTGAGGCCCCACGCTTGGCCTCACCACGATGTGGCACGAGGCTCGGAAGCATGAGCGGAAGCTTCGAGGCATGATGGTCGACTACAAGAAGAGGGCAGAGCGGCGGCGGGAGTACTATGAAAAGATAGTGAGTATCCAGCCTTTAATCTGGGCTGAGCGCTTCCTGGAGGGTGGATCCCTGGTCGTCCTGTCAGAAGGTAGGCTTGGAAGTAGGTCGAGACGGGAGCCCACTTTCCTCAGGAGAATATTCATTCATTTCTTGATCATAGTCATTGGTAAAAACAGGAGGCATTCCGTTTGTTACAGCATACCGTGTTGTTTGGTGTGGCTTCACAGTACAGAGCTGGTGTTAGCAGGAAGGAGGAAAGTCTTTGTAACACTCAGGGCAGTCTAGACATACGACTGGCCACCTCCAGAACGTTGTCTGTCTTGCTTATTGCCATATTGGTAGTGCTCCAAAGAGCTCTGCCATTGAGGTTTGCTTGGCACACCAGTCCAAAGGAGTGCCATCATATTCATTAAGTGAATTCTGATCACTTTCTTTTCCCATTTGGTGCTTTGATACTATATTGCTTTTGGAGAGAAGACTATACTCCCATCTGTGACCTAAAAGGCCCTTGTGGTCTGGGCTCTACTGGCCTCTCAGTTTCATCCTTCAGTAGCTCCATTGGCCTTTTTCCCTGTCTCTGCTACCACAGGGCATTGTGCATATAATGCCTCTCCTTACCTACTTAACTCCTTGTCCTTGAGACCCCAGCTTGAAATGGCATCCGGGCACTAGGTTCTGTTCTCCTGTTAGATATGTGTATAGACACTCGCATTTTCTGCTGCATCACTGCCCCAGTCTCCTCCTTGGTCTCCTGGCTTACAGTCCTGTCCCCTCCCATCTACCCCCTTCAGAGGGGTCCAGAGAGGTCTTTCTAAAGCACAAAGCTAACCCTGTCCCTCCATTGTTCAGAACTTCTCCATGGAATGATAGAAAGCCTAGGCCCCTCAAAGCAGCCTTCAAGTCCCATCATAGTCTGGCATTTGTCCCCTCCTACATGCCTGCAGTCAGCTTACCAAGAGGGCAGAGCTGGCATTCTAACCCAGACTCTCTGACCCTTGACCTCTCAGCTCTTTACCTGGGCTTTCTGTGGCAGACACAAGTTCAGAAAGGTGAAGCAACTTGTCCAGGGTAACCCAGCCAGGAGGCAAAATGCCAAAATAGTTAGGTCCTTAGAGTTTGGAGTCTGGACTCTGGGTTCAAATTCCAGCACTTCTACCTAAATACAGTGTAACCTTGGTGAGTGAGTGTCTCCCTGAGCCTGGTTTACTCTGCCTGTGAAATGATACATCATGTAGAGTCAGGTTTGGTTGTGATTAACAGAGACATAAAACATCAGCAGCTTAAACAAAATAGAAGTTTATTTCTTTTTCACATAAAAGCCCAGAGGTGGCCAGTTCTTCAGGGATTCTCTTCCCAGTGTTGTCTCAAGGTCTAAGAAGGCTGCTCAGACTCTAACCATCATGTCTTCATCCAGCAGGGAAGAAGGGAGGAGAAAAGTGCAATAGGTGCTCATGCCAGTGGTTAAGAAAGTTTCTAGATGTTTATACGTAACACTCCTCTCATATCCCACTGGCCAGAAAGTAGTGCCCTTCTCACACACAGCTGGAAGGGAGGCCAGGAGGCATAGACTTTATTCTGTGTAGACTGTCAGATGTGTTAGAAGTCCTGTGACTATTGAAGGAGGGAAAGTGGATGTTGGTTGCCACATAATAGCCTGCTGCAAATCGTAGGGGACAATACACCTACACTTGTTGAAGGGCCATTGGAGTATCCAGTGAGATTGGGCACATAGACCGCTAAGTATAGGGGTGGCTGGCTCAGTAAATGCCAGCTCTTGTTGTTACTGAGAGTATTACCAGGTAGAGCTAGAATTTGCATCGGGTCAGTGCTGGTATAGAGGAAAGAAGGCTGAAATTGAGTCACTTGGAAAGCCTGGGCTTTCAGGCTCTTGGCCTTGTTGGCAGGGGGGCTCCCTCAGTTTTATTTTTGCCCTTGGGACAGTGGTGATGACCCACCCCTCTCACTGGGTGATGGGGAAGAGCTTCAAGAACAAGAACAAGTGTCTGGCGAGCTGTGTGGTGTAGGTCCGTACAAGCAGCCATTGTTCCCATACATGAACGTGACCTGCGTTCAGATGCAAGCTGCCAAGCTGTGGACAGTGGCTGGTGGCTGCTTTGTGGAGTGGGAGGGCTGCTCACACTGGTCAATCATCCTTCTGGGTGAGAGAAGAGGCTGTGCTGTCGTGGGGGCAGGTGCTGAAGAAGCCGAGGTAAACTGTGGCAGGCTGGATGGGTGTGTGTTGGTAGAGCTGGCTTTTAGGCTCCTATTTGTCCTTGGTGTCTGCTCTCTCCTTAGCTTACCTGGTCCTGTCATTGCTCCTATTTCTTCTTTAATCCGTGGTTTAGATAAAGAATCAGAATTCCCTGTTGATATGAAGTTGGGAAATGAACAGGTATCAGCTCAGATGTCTCCTCCAGGAAGCCCCAGGCTGACACCCCCTCAGCTGAGTCAGGCACCCCCTTACCTCCATCCAGCGCAGCTCACTCTAGGTCATCATCATGTGTGGGAAAGTCTGTCCCTGACTGCAAGCCATGAGGGCATGGCTGGGGCCCTAGCACACACTAGGTGTCTGCCTAACAGTTGAATGGATGAATGAAAGACTCCGTGAATATTTCTGACTCCTTCTGATCCTAGAGGCAGAATAGTACAGTGGTTAAGAATGGAGTTTGTATCTCGAAGAGGCATTTGTACATCCATGTTCACTGCAGCATTACGCACAATAAGCACAATGTGGCAACAGCCTAAATGTGCACTGATTATGAATGGTTAGAGGAAATGTCATCTGTACATACAGTGGGACATTACCCAGCCGTAAAAAGGAAAGAAATCCTATCACAGGCAACAGTGACGAACATTGAAGACATTATGCCTGGTGAAATAAGGCAGTCATAAAAAGAAAAATACTGCAGGATTCCATGTACATGAGGTATCTTACATACCTCTTAGAAATGGTTAAACTCTTAGAAATGGAAACTAGAATGGTGGCTGCTGGAGGAAGGGGAAAGGGGGAGTTGTTCGGTGGATACGGAGTTGCAGTTTTATAGGATGAAAAGGTTCTGGAGCTCCGTTGCACAAAAAGGTACCTGTGGTCACTGCTACTGCGCTGTGTACTCTGACGTGGGTGAGGTGATAGGTTTTGTATTACACACCTTTCATCATAAGTTTAAAAACTACTCTTAAAATGAGTGTAATTTTGGGATCAAGCCCACTTGGGTTCAAATCCTAATTCTGTTTATTAAGGGTATGATCTCAAGCATGTGGGCCTCACCCCTCCGAAACTCAGTTTCCTCACCTGGAACATGGTGGGTAAGAGAACCACCTTTCTCCCATGGTTGAGAAGTTCAAGTGAGAAAATGTAAAACAAAAAAAATTGTTCAGTGCCTGGCTTTTAGTACAGTTCATTGACTTTTCCAGCCTCTTCCACAGAGCCAGGCTCTGGACTCAGATTTGTACTCCCAGCGCAGTACTTTTTCCTTTCTGAGGAGCAAGCATAGCCAGTGGCTTCCAGGTGCCAGCCAGAGTCCATACTGCAGACTGTGCCCCATGAGTCTGGGCTGTGGGGACGGGGCACTCGGCCTGGAGCAGCCTCAGGAGTGTGAGGCTGTCTTGGCCAGGGGCTGTGCCTGGGCTGTGGGAGCTATGTGGCCTGAGACAAGGAATCAGGGGAGGCAGGGGAGG